ATTATAGTGATTTTATTGCATAGAAAGAGTCGATGCCATTAATTTCACCTCCAAACCTATATAATGTAGTATTTCAACTTGAATTTCTTGAATGTTTTCACCTTAAATACTATTATTTTCATTATCATTTGACTCATTTTGCTCACAATTTTCATGAATACTATATGTTAGCTCTGCAACATACACTTTGTCATCATCTTGTTCATTAAATATTAAAGATTTCATTGTGAAATAATGAATAAGGGCAGTGTTATTTATCATCTGATTTTTTTTTATCAGAGGCTTATCCCCCTTCCTCCTTTTACTATATATTTTGATCAGGTCTTTATATATAATTTTAAATTTTTTACCCCTCTTCCCTCTAAAAAATCACATGATTTTTGTTACATTCCTAATTAAAAAAAAACTCAATTATTTATTAAAAATATCATATATAAGAAAAAAGCTAAAGGATTCTTTAAATGTTTAGTATCACATTTTTTTTGAAATATATTGGGCGTAATAAACTAATCAAATATATTAATCAAATATTAATCAATATTTATCTAAAACAGAAAAATGATTAGCTAAATTTGTAAAAAAATATAAAACGATTTATATCTAAATTTGGAAATTGCAAGCAAATTTGTTTAAAAGATAATATAAAATTAAATACTATTATAATATAATCCTTAGAACATTGTTATATGGTATACTGTACATTTGGTGCACCCTATCACATGATCAATATATTGCAAGGGTTATGTTGATCATATATTAGTAAAAACCACGTGATATATAATAAATCAAATTTTAAAAATTTGATAAACCCCATGTAGTATAAAAAATAAAAAACTTAAAAATATAAAAACAGCAGTTTAAACATCTCTAAATAATAATAAGATGCATAATGCCTATCTTTATTTATAAATAACCAAAGCATATAGAAAAAATTAAACATTATTTTTGCAAATAAGTAAACATTTAAGCCCACAATTAAATCTACAATACTATAAAAATTACACTAGTTAAAAAATTTAATTTGTTGAATTTTTAATTTAGATACCTTCAACTAATTTTTCACAGTATGCTAAATTTATTTAAAGCAACACAATTTTTATTAAAATATTGTTTTCAATTGTATACTTAATTTAATCTTTAATCTCATCAGAAGATTTTATCTTATAGCTTCTAATATTATGACCAGTTTTGTTACAATATGCACATTTAATACTTCGTATCTTTGTAGCTGATCGTGATTGTTGATTTACTTCAATGCTACTAAGAATTCTTTGTGCTCCTGGTGGCCAACCTTTATGACATTTAGTTAAAGAATTTTCAATGCTAATATTTGAACCTTTTCTTTTTTTTACTTCGTTAGTATCAAATTTTGCTTCATTTGAAGAATTCGATTCATTATTCAAAGTATTATTCAAAGTATTCTCATCTTGAATAGTATTATTAATTACAATACTCGTATCTCTAGATCTACAATTATTAGTATTAAGAATCATATTGATCTCTTTTTTTTGAAAAATTTTAAGTGTTTCAATCAACTTTTTATCTAAATTTAATTCAACCACTCAGTTTACTATAGTTTTTGTAAAACCAAATACTTTAGCAAATTGTTGCTTGGCACTCAAATGCTGCTGAGCAATTTCTTGGCTCTCTTTTGTTAATCTATTAATTTCACTTGATACAGTGGGTATCTATCGTCTAGAAACTTGAGTTGTTGGATTATTTATATTATCAGTTATTACTCCAATAAAATTTCGATTACTCAAATCAGTATTATATACTTCATTATTAAACCAATAGCGATTAATCATATTAATATAAAATTTGGCTATTGCTATTATACACATAATTCAAAAAAAATATCTACAAATCCAACCTGATGTAGTAGATAATTTGCATGTGCATTTATAATCACTATTTGTTAGAAGAAAAACAAATTGTAATGGTGTAGTATACTTAATATGTCAAACTTTCCAAGCTGAAATTAGTTGATCATAAACTTCACTAAGAATATCATTGGCATAGGTTTGTAGCAAATCAAAAACCTCTTCAATGCAATTGGTATCACATAAAACCTCAATATTAGTGACTAGCCTATCTGGTTCTATTTGTATCGCATAATATAAAAAGCTGTGATTTATCTGTTCTTTAATTTTTTTGACTATTGCAAAAGTTATATAAGTGCAAAGTTCATTATCAATATTTTGAAATACTACATTATATAGGTTTGGAGGTGAAATTAATGGCATCGACTCTTTCTATGCAATAAAATCACTATAAT